CTCTCGTTCTGCTGCGGCTGCTCTGGACTCTGGCTGCTGTTCAGCTGCTGCTGCTGTGATTTGAGGTAGAAAATGTGAGGATAATGAGGGTGAGGCCATAAAAACTAGCAACACAGAAAATCAGAAAGACAGGCACAGAGATGTAGGCAAACATGCACACAAATAAACAAGCCCAAATGCCAGATTAAACAGAAATAAGGAGTCCAATGGAGTATGGTTAGATTAAGAGGACAGCAATGGAGGACAAGACAAGAGAATGACAATCAATGTGGGAGAAATGGCAAGAGGAGACGGCTCAGAACAATGCAGCGTAAGGGACAGAGGAAAGGTACATAAAGAAATTAAATCAAAGAGGGCACAGACAGACAGAAAAAGAGAGGAAATACACTGTTAACATCCACAAAAGGACACAGAGAGGAAGAAGTCACAACACCCCTCTCCAGAATCCCTAATGATACCTGACCCAACCCACCCTTGGCATTAGTACAATGGTTTAAAGCTTCAATTACAAGAGTGTGAGCCCTGCTGGTTTTCATTCTCTCAATCTAAACTGAAGCTAATTTACTTTATACCTGCTATTCAAGCAGCTGTGCTGTTTCACCAGGATTTAAAATCACTGGCTTTCCAGGTTTAATTCTAAGCTATGCCCTTAAAAACAAACAAGTTTCACTTTATTTTTGTAATGGATTGGATAGACTCTGGATAGAGGATCTGAGCAGACTTGGTAGTAGGAGTAGGAGTATACAGACAGTACATAATGCAATCTACTGTAAAAGATAGTGAGTGAATAGAAACCCATGATGCGAAAGAGGAAGGTGTAAAATAAAAAAAATTAAAAAAACAAGATTACAGTGGGTTTATTATATAGCTATGAGAAAATACAGTGTAAGGTGGAATTACCAAGCCACAGCCCCATTTGCATGTCTAAACGTGTGCTGTGTGATAATGGTGATGAAATGACTCCCTCGGTAGATCCTTAATATTCCCAGGAATATGTACACCAAGGATATAAATTCACAGTCACATTGATGAAACTACTTACAAATGTGCTAATTAGATGATGCAACAATGTCCTGGGTAATAAACTGCAGGGGTGTAACATTTGGGCTGAAAGCCATCTTGAATTTCCTGTGAGGGCAAGGTGGCCAAATAAATGAACCAAGACCCAGGGGGCATATTCTGTCTCTGTCACCCACATAGTGAAGAGCACACAGGATTAGAGCAGACCGGTCACACTGCAACATGAGACACCTCTGCTCTTGACAGCTACTGTAAAGCTCCAGGCTAATCAGCTGCTCCTAATGCTAAACTACCTCGAATGTAAATGCTGTAGTTAAGAGGCGGGTGTGCGAGAGACAGACATACCTGTGGCGGGGTTGGGGTAGAGGAGGGGGGACCGACAGGAGGCGTTGAATTCCTGCTCCCTGAACCCCCTGCCATAATCTCCTCTGTGATGTCCTTTCCCCCCTGATTGGGGTCACGGATACGGATCTGGGAGAACAATGGCACAAAAAAACAGACCTCACTAAAGCACTCAAGTCTTGGTACAACTCTTCCTCAGCTGTATTTATTCTGTGCCACCTGTTACATTACATCAATGCACTGAGCAAGAGGTGGGTCACAATCAAAAATAAAACGTCTTGTGTGGTAGAAGGGAGCATCCTGAAGTGACCAGCAAAAAAAAAAAAAAAAAAAGGATTTAATCACAAAATGACAGCATCACATTTGACTGCAAATGAAGTGTCTGTGAAAAAGTTAGCAAATTTTACACCTAGCCTCTTCACCTAGTAATCTGACCCCCAGTAATGTCATGTGACTGCATTTTCACTCAATTTTTAAGTTCTACTGGTGTAGTGTCAGTATACTTCTGGTCATATCTAACATCTTTTCTCATGAATGTTGAGCTGCACTGAATATAGTGAAAAAAACAAATTCAAAATAATTTGGACTATAATGCAAGCCTTTAATATTTGAAAAAAGAGAAAAACAGGACACCAGCTCTTAAATATCAAGCACTTCAGAGTTCACAGAACATCATTTCTCTTTAGTGTGTTTATATTATAAGCATAGACAGAATACCTGAACATACCCTGACAGCATTTGTACATTTATCAACCAGTAACAAAATTTGCTACATTTCTTGACTTTATCTGAAAATTGTATGGATAGTGCAAGGTTCTAAAAGATGTAAAGCCTGAAAACGATCAAAGGCGTTATCCACGTCTTTGTAAAAGCAATGCAGTCTGAGAATGTGCAGACCAATTAGTCATTACAAGCTCATGCAGAAGAATTTAAGAGCTAATTTAAATTATTAGCTTTCAAATAAATGTATTAAATACCTCCACATGGAAAACATCAAACATATCCTTGACTAGAAAAAAAAAATCAATTCCTTTACTCCCAACCTAAAGATCAACAGGGACAACTGGGTAAACTATCTGCTGATGAAAAGCATTTGACTGAAAGAGCCAGAACAGCCACTAAATGGACCTTGAAGTAAGACTGTTTTGCCCGCTGCTGTTTCCAGAATCTAAACTTCAGGTGACAGATGATATAGATCAAGAGATATGGCTGAAAGCTCCTAAATAGCCACAAAATGGGCTTTGAGGTTAGGCTGATTAACATTTGTTTGTTAGTTGGTTGGTTTGTTCACAGCATAACTCAAAAAGCAGACAGAAAGTAGATGTGAGATAAGGCCAATTCATGGCACAGAGCCCTGGATGGCAAAAAACCCTTCCAACATGGTGGTTAACACTGGATACTTGATACAACTGTAGTACAGGCATGTTAACTTTCCAGTTATGTTCTATTAAAACAGCCCAATCTTTTTGTTTTTGTGCCCCAAATTCACTGCATGTGCTCTAAATCTGCTCCACCAAAAGAGATGGCGAGCAGTGGTGGTCGAGCGAGCCCTGCACCTTGTGTGTGTGTGTGTGTGTGTGTGTAGCTAAGCCCCACACTAGGTCAAACAGACAGACACACAACTCATATTATGAGGGTCAAACAATCATGGGAATATTGCTTTTAGGTGTGATGGCATTATGGGGAAACTGATCTGCCTTGGCAGAGGTTTGCACTCTCTGAGTACTGTCTACTATGACTTTTTTTTTTTAAACAATTCATGAAAGTCAAAGATTCAAAAATTCAAAAGCACTTTCACTGGACGTTCTGCATATCAACTACAATCAAAAATCTGTTAATACATTCTTATATGTTGTATTTCACTCCCATTGTTGCATTTACAAAAAAGGACAAAGGAACTACCAAGATACTCACTGTTTTCTTCTCCCGCTTGGCTGGTAGAGGTTGCTGTGGTGTAGGCACTATGATGGGGGGTGAGGGGGAGTACACAGTCTGTCCTGGGTAGTAGGGGGGGCCAGCTGTGGGAACGGGAGCAGGGACAGAGGGTGAGACAGGTGGGTGGTACCTGAGGGGATCTGAATGAATTTACAAGGAAAAAAAAACAGAAGAAAAGAGATTTTAGTTAAACACTCTCAGGCTCTGTAGTCTGGGGATACACAAAGCTTAAAGATTATGTGCATTTGAGCTACTCTAAGATAAAATCATATTTTACATGTGATATTGGCATCTGCCTTGAATTAATGACTCACGATATGGAGCAGGGTACTCCCCTGGCCCTGGACCAGGATAGAAGGTGCCGGACCCTGGGGGCTGCACAGAATACTGCTGAGGAGGTCCCACATAGGGCGTACTGTGCCGGTACTATGAGTAAGGAAGACAGGGAGAGACGTTAAACATGTTACCGCATGAACAACACAGGTGCTCTCCAATGACAGCATGCACATTGGACTTGTCAATTTTCCATGTTTCAAACATTTTCTCAAATGCCTCTGAGATAGCAGATGTGGAGTGGGAGCCCGTGAACTCCTTGGAGTGTAACTCTACTTTTATCAAGTTAAAATCTTTATCAATCCACGGTGCCTTGAGGTTCAGCATACTCACAGGGCTAGCATTCAAACTCCATATATCAGTTCTAAAACTGATGGTAGGGATGTCACCAGCCAGCGGGTCATGAATTTGTGTGGCCACAACATTGTAGAGTTCAGGGAGACAGATGTCAGCACAATGACAACTGGGCAGTGGGACGCCACATGCTCCATCAGACTTTGAAACCCTACCTCCTCCACAATGGAGAAAGGTTGGTCATCTAATGTGATGAACTCCACCACCTTGTTAGGGATCCCTTTAGCTTTGGCCCTGTCCATGGAGATTGCTCAACACGTCTTATAAACTGCATATGCTTCCACATGGCCGACATTTTCTTTCACCTTATCGGAAAACAAACCACATGTGTGCAAACTGCCACAAAAAAGGCTGTTATACCTAGTGGATCGGTCCCAAACGTGCACCTGGCTACATTACTGTTGTCTGAATCAGATAACCAGATAAACATTGGCCACTGCCATGGGTGAATGATCATCTTATTTGCTGATAGGCCAATGGCAGTCAACAAGGCAAACATCAGCCAATACTGATGTATGGCCGATAAATTGGTCCAACCCTACAAAATATATTTTCTTAATTTACACCTAAGACAAAGGGTAACACTAATGTTAGAAATCTGTTATAATAAACTATAAAAAATGTTTTTTATAACTGTAATATGTAGACGTAAAGCTATAGCATGTAACATTTTTCAAATATTTTTGTTGTAGAAATATGCTCCAAAACTTGTCTTAATAGAGGAGAGGTGCTGTCAAAGCTTCTTAAAAGGTTTTGAGCAGGACCGACCTCTCTAACCAATTAGAGATTTTCAATTATTTCTGCTTGATCATTACGTTTTGTTGCATTCTCATGTCTTGTAATGTAACTGCGACAAATATCTGAGGAGCTGGGCAGAGCGTGGCAGAGCGCAGGACAATGTAGCAGTGCATAGTTGAGCAAGCCAGGTAGATTTTGATAATCTCTATTGTAGCTTTAAACTCCATGCTTGCACTTAAACTGCTCATACACATAACTATTGCTGGAACAATTACAATTATTCACTACTTAATTAAATTGTAGTGAACGGCTTCAACTATAATTTTGAAACCCAGCCAAGTGTGACAGACTCTACCCACCTGTGGGATGTAGTACTGTGCAGCCTGAGGGGAGGGGAAAGGCATGGGTGCCATAGTCATCATGATAGGCTGATTAGTGGGGTAGACGGCCGCTGTGGGAGTCTGTGAGCCGGGCCGTATGGAGGGTGTGTTTGTAGGGATGGTGGGCCTTGCAGTCTGCATCTGAGTCCTCTGGAAAAACTGAAATTACCATGTGAGAGAAACAGAGGAAAAGGGAGAGAAACAACAATAGACATTAGGTACTATCCCAGAAGCAGCAGTCCCATTCCAGCATGCTGCCAGGCTTTATCTAAAATACAGACTACAGTTTTTCACATCTTCACCAACTGTTTACAAGACATAGTGTATCCTTTATCTAATGAAACCTGACTGGCTGCCAAAGTAAATAAACATGAAATAAAGTTTGATATCTACAATATATACACACACCAGTGGTTTAAGGTTTGGGCATGTGGATCACTGGGTTTTCAAATTGCTTGTTGCATTTTTGTGATTAAACATTTGATATTTACACATTTATAAAGACATGAACAATCTCTAACATGACATTTTTCCTGTGGTTGGATAAGCAACAAAGGACTTTGAATTACTTTTTAAAAGAAAACCAGACATTTTGGCAGAGACAGGCCCGATTACTATTTCCAACAGAGGGTCCTAAAGGCAAAGTGTAAATTACATTTATTCTTTTTTCCCCATTTCTAAGTTCTTTATTTTTCATTTTGGCCAGCCTACAATGTAAATAAGCTCCACAGCGATGCACAAGCTGCAACAAAGAACAATTCTTGGACCACTAAAACAATTCAAATACTTCTTTTTGTGCCTGAGCTGCTTGGCCAACTTTATCATTCTGCTGACTGTCTGGCACATGGCACGGGTCTGTTCCTCAGGAACCAATATGGCTTTTTCTTGTGCATCAAAGAGCACAGAAAGTGTACACAATATACTGTAGTTGCTGCAACTACAATGACCACTATACAGAACATCTTAAATCTGTTAAAAATTTAATATCTGATAGTCTTTGTATTTGGACAGCACAGATGATTTTGTGCAGGAATCTCTGAGCGTCAGGCCCGAAGAAATACCACTACCAACACGTGTGACCGACTTCCAAAAAACTAGGGCTCAAGCAGGGAATACCCAACCACAGTCACAGTGTGATCCGGTGAAAGAGAGCAGAATAAACAATGCTGTAAGCCCATCTAAAAGTACCCAGGAGGGAACTCACAGCAATAAATCAGCCCTGTGGAAATCCAGGAAATGGCCATTACTAGCTACCTGAAGAGTCTCAGTGAAATTGCTGGCATGACAAAAAAATACAAGGCAACATTCAAAACAACTTTTCAATGCTGTGCAAAAGTGCTTTGTAGGTTATGCTTGAAACAACCAGTGTCCGTTCCAAACGCCACAAACCAAATCCATGTCCAGTGGGCTTCGATAAAATAATATTAGACATTACATTTTTCCATCAGGTAGCAGATACACAGACATAAAAAGGAACTAAAAGTATTTATCTTAGGGAATAATACAGTGTAGATACACAATGTCTTTTTTCATTCCACATGCTCATTAAAAATGTAATGAATATGAAATGAATAGAACCAAAATGTCAAAATAATGAACATAAAAGTCCAGTAATGATTCTATAAAGGATAAAAGATGATACATTAGCATAAAATGATGATAAAGAACCCCTCTACTGAGCATACACTGTAGTGAAAATGAAGGGGTTCTACAGGGTTAAAAGGTACAGTAGGAGGGATGGGATCATTTAAGGATGATCCTCACCATGCCATGCACGTATGCAGCGACTTTCGACACATAAGTAAATGTTACCTGGATGGGCCTGAATCCTCCCTTGAGTATTGAAAGCAGGAAAGAGAGAAAAGCCAATGGGAGACTGTAATGGTGAGACTGAAGCCTCAATACAACAACAAGCAATCACCCACATACATTAAAGGCAGGAAGCTACCCAGTCATTCTCATCTTCCTGACACTGTGACCGGTCCTGAGCCACTTTGAGCAGAAAAATAACTCGTACAATAGAAAACGGGGTCAAAGTGAGGACTGGTTTGTCAACAACTGTGTGGTAGAGTGGAAAAAGCTGAAAAGTCAGTCAAAATGTCACATCAGTATTTGACCTGTGGTCATGTGCCACCCTGACCCAACATGCACACATACCCGCATGCATGTAAGCCTCTCTCAAAAACAGACATTTTACTTAAAGGGGAGTTTCTTTTCTCAAATCAGGCAGTCTGAGCCTCTGTGCCAGTCTCCCTCTTGCTTTGGCAAAGCAGTTTTCCCAGGCCCAATGGGATCTGGCTGTGACCTGCGATTCTCACTAACTGATATGATGTTAGGGAGCGTTTCAGACACCCTTCTATCTTATGAAGCTGGTAGGCGACACTCCACGGTCCTGGTAGTCTGGTATGTTGACTGGTAGAGTGTTCATAGAAAATAAAATCAGTGTTCAGTGAAAATCCTTAGTCTCTTTTTGTGGATTGATATTTTACAATATAAAGGAGAAATAACAGTGAATTGATGCTGTTGCCTAAGTGACTCAATAGCCCCTATCACTTGAATCAAACTGTCATCCTGATGCCCTCTACAGTGCTAGTTAAGGTGAAAATGCTAAGAAAACGGGTTTACAACACAATTACTACTTTTTATGGTAAACAAAGAGGACACAGTCATGGGTCAAATTCAGAGAAATAAAGTCATTTAAGCTCTGAAGAGCTCTCCGAAGAATACACCAGTTGTTTGTTTTAGTAGTAACTGCACTGTAATTTCCACCAAACGTGGTTTTTGACACATAAAAGCAAAAGCTGTATTTGAAATCCAAAGAAGTCATTCATGATAATAGTGGTATAAAATGAAATAATGATGATCTTTGTTTGCAGACACACGTATATCTTAGCCAAATGAATTGATTTTCTGATCTCTATGCACCCTTTACTGTCCATTGAGTGTGATCCAGGGAGACAATGGCTGTTTTCTCCATTTGTATAAAAGGCCACTGTTCTCCTTCATCTGCTTTCCAACTCCACTTCCGTGGTGGCACAAGAGATCCCAGCGCCAGTTTGTGACAGCCAGAGCATGCACTTGTGTATGTGGTGTGTGTGCCACACTACTGCCAGCAAACACACCCAGCACACAGAAGCATCCAAGAGGTGAGGATGTTAGACAAGTTACACAGGGTGTGAATAACACATCAATCTTAGTAATGTGGGAAGTGGGGGGTGTTTGAGTCACTACAGCATGGATCAACAAACAAAGATATCAAAAGGTCACATGGGCCCATATGTCAGCAACCTGACATGTCTACGACTCTTAGCATCCACAAGGTAATACACAGATAACATAAATACTGCACTACCAGATGTGAATTTACATGCCCTTCATAATCTAATGACACTGCTGCACAAAGTGTCAGCTGTCTCACAGGATCCAGACTGTACTTTACACAAATGTCAACCATGAACACAGACAAATACTGGGGTTGGCCCATACAGTTGCTCTGGACTCTGTACCTAAGCACTGGCTAACATCCCTTATCATTCTCACTACATTCACACTACAGGCCATAATGCACAATTAATGAGTCACATGTGTAAAGGAATAAAAACAGTGTTTGTGCGATAGTCAAATTTCACAATTCCCTCAAAAACTGTTTGGTTACAGTATGTTCCTTCTAGTTTGGCTTGATCAGACGCTTCTCCATAAATGTTTAACGAAAGTTAAATTTCCTAATCTCTCCACTGACACCTGTGGCTCTTGTTGCTGTGAGGGGCTGACACTGAATGATAACTAAAGAATATGTATGTGCATACCGAGAGGTGGGAGATTAAAAAAAAGAAAATAATAATAATAATAATAATAAGACAAACATGAATTCCAATCTGATCACTGATAGGGGTCACATGGTCAGAGATCAGACATGAATCAGATCTAGAACCACATATGGAAGAGGCCCAGAATTCATTAAAAAAAAAAAAAAATCAAATTTGGTTTGTTCCCACATCAATGGTGAGATCAGATGTGAGTCACTTGGAAGGAAACAAAATTGGATTTGAGTCACTTCAGCATGTAGCTTCTATCCAAGGAATTTTACTCCAATACTGAGGTTCCCAATATGCTTTTGTAAGGCACAAAAAATTTAAATATATACAGAGAAATAGGTGGAACCAAGAAAGACAGAATATAGGGGAAAATATATATTTATAAATATATATACATATACTTATATAAAATAACAGGATGGCAACTTGATCTCAAAACAAAACAAGCTGGCCTCAGGAATGATCTGTCATTGAATAATCAGTGTTTGGATGAACATCGCTAACAGCATCGCCAAGCTAATCAAGCAGCTGATTGGATATCGCTCTGTACTGTCAACTCAGGATGGTAGTTACAGCTATTGTTAAGGCTAGCTTCCACAAAGAATACATATAGCAGTTTATAACTTGGCTTGGGAGTCATTCTCTAGAATGGTAACAATGGTTAAAAGTAAAGAAAATGCTAACGTAGCTAACACATCCTGAATTAGCTAAGTTAGCCAAGAAAGCTAGTCTGAAAACCTGTGGAAAACTCTGTATCTTCTTATACCCTGAAAATAAATGATTACCCTCAATTATGTTTTCAGTAAGCAATCTGAAATAATCAGTGTCTTAAGACAAGTAGTCATTTTTGGCCGTACAGAATTTGGCTTACAGTCACGGCTATGAAGAGATCCAAACAACAAAGCTCTTATTCCATACAAAAATAAAACAATTACTTTCAGTACCTTTGTGTTATTAGGGTTATTACTGGAAAGAAATTAGAGAGAGCAAGAACTGGGCTTAATGGGTATTCTGCTATAAAGAAATGGCCTTGGGTGTGTCCTGCACCACTAGCGCTAGTCCGACCTTACTGATGGCCATTCAGTTGAGTGTGTTGAATTGTGCCTAGATGCAGCTGCAAGAGAGAGCCTTCAGACTACCTGAGTAATCTACCATGGGAACACAAGGACAAAGCATTCCAACAAATTCATAATTTGTATTCCAATTTACCATAAGCAGACATTCTTTTAAACTGTGTAATATAAATACAGACCAACTAGCTTACACACTCAAGCATGGAATGTACTGTGCTGAACAGATTGTGCCGGGCTGTAAACTGAATTTGTGGGAATGTGAGACGACATGAGCAACACAGAGTGAAATCCAATCAAGGGCAAGATTTTATCATGTACAAAATACCTTGTGTGCTCCTAAAAATACAGTGGGTACGGAAAGTATTCAGACCCCCTTAAATTTTTCACTCTTTGTTATATTGCAGCCATATGCTAAAATCATTTAAGTTCATTTTTTTTCCTCATTAATGTACACACAGCACCCCATATTGACAGAAAAACACAGAATGTTTGACATTTTTGCAGATTTATTAAAAAAGAAAAACTGAAATATCACATGGTCATAAGTATTCAGACCCTTTGCTTGTCACAGACATAAGTATGGGAGCGAAGGTCAGACATCCTCCCATTTCTTCCTCCAGCACTTCATGAATGAAATCCCTCCCTGCTGAGCGGTGAGTCCCGGATATCGTTTAGATTAAGTCTGCAGTCCTCCATGTATTCTCACTTGTGTTTGTTTTATAATTGATTTATTCATCCACTTTTCTTTCAATAATAAACTATTTAATGTGCAATTCCTGTGAGTTCCTGTGATGAAAGATTCATACTGTCGATTTTTAGTTTTCACCTACACTTTAAAAGTCTTCATCTGAAAGCACTGGTTTGGTTGGCGCAGTAAAAACAACATTTTCCTGTCTGGTTTTCTAATATAAAATATGAAGAATATTTAATTTGACTGATGAGGGTCATTATTATAAAGATAGTGTTTTTGTTTGTTTGGTAAGTACATGTTAAGTACATCTTGTCAGTCAGAATGAAATATCCTGATGTAGAGTACTTTGAAAAGTGCACTCATATGTCATCATAAACCACATTATTATGATTTACCATTTAGATTCATTCTGAAGATGTTAGATATTACCAGGCATCTGAGGAAAAGTACAACCGGGTCATGTACAAACAAATGTTTTCTTTTTCACAGATTTGACACCACATAAAAAAGAAGACAGTTAAAAAAAGGGGAAGTGGCAAATTTACTGAATCTCAAAACTCAAAACTGCTTTGTGTGGTCACACAGCTTTCTCCTTCCCATTTTTATTCAACCACCAAACCTACAACTGCTTTTAAGAGAAGCACATTAAATCACATTTTTGACCATCTTTCCCACATTTTCACACCGACTCATCTATCTGGGTGAAACAGACCAAAATGCCACTGAAGCAAAATGACATGTTAAACATGACGACCAACGTTTACCATCCAACCTGACAGCACTGGAGAGGATCTGCAAGGAGGAATGGCAGAGGATCCCCAAATGCAGGTGTGAAAAACTTGTTGCATCATTCCCAAAAAGACTCATGGCTGTATTAGCTCAACAGGGTGCTTCTACTAAATACTGAGCAAAGGGTCTGAATACTTATGACCATGTGATATTTCAGTTTTTCTTTTTTAATAAATCTGCAAAAATGTCAAACATTCTGTGTTTTTCTGTCAATATGGGGTGCTGTGTGTACATTAATGAGGAAAAAAAATGAACTTAAATGATTTTAGCATATGGCTGCAATATAACAAAGAGTGAAAAATTTAAGGGGGTCTGAATACTTTCCGTACCCACTGTATATCAACTATAAGTAAGGCTGGGAGAACCACAATCATCTGGATACATCCTGTGCAAAAGCAGTTAGTTACTGTACTCAGAGCTCAGACCCAGGACAGCTGCAAGTGTCATTATACTAACACCCTGATACAGATTATTAAATATCAATTTAATTCTTAGAATGAACCAACACCAATCTCACAATAAAAATAAACAAAGTCAGGACTCCTGACTGGATATCTTGATTAAGTAGCAGCAAACTCCACAAAAAAAGATAATTAAAACCACTTGAACTGTATCCATGGCAAGGTGTTCAAATCTCAGACTTTTTTTTTTTAAAGAACAACAGATGCCCCACCAACAGCACTTTGCCAACAGGTACCAGCAAACTTGCTTTCATGATGATGGTGCGAGAGAGGGAACAGCAGGGACATTCAGCAGGGGTAAATTACCTGATGGTGGGTTGGTCGAGGGCCCGTAGCAAACTGGTGGGGAAGGGAGGAGAGGTCCAGCAAGGAGATTGAAGCAGTGATGGCAAAGTGGAAAGAAGAAAGAGCATAAGATACACAGAGATGAGTGATGGAGGCATATGGTTGGAAATACAGTACAAAACCACAGAGCAACAAAGCTTTAAAGATACGAGGTACATGATGCAGCACACAGACAAGTGTGAATGTGCAAATAAAATACTTTATGTACCAGGTACATTGGGTTAGCTGCATCAGGACAATGCTGATTTTATGATATCAAATTGTCAAACATTGAAAAGACTTAAGTTGATTTTTATGTGCATGGCCCAATAATCACAAATTTGTCTCAAAGGGCCGAACACAAAATTAGCAGACTGTGGTGGAAATAAAATCATTTATAATGTTGTATGTGGTAAATCTTTCCATTGTAACCAAATAGTTTAAAACACACTGTATATAAAAATGGACAACACATCACCATGACAGTATACACTCCTTTTATATAATCAAACTTATTACAACAGAAAATGGCCAATTCTACACAAAGTAGCATGATATTGGAAAAATCTATTCGTATTTCTTTAGTCTGTGGTTTAAAACAAGACAGTGTATGTGTAAATACAATTTGATGTTCTGGTTAGTGTGGTTCTCCAGATAGGAGCTGGGCAGGAGCCACACATAACAAATGTTTACAAAGAATGCTGGCAAAAGATATATATAATATCTGGATATTTCTCATTAGGTTTGCTGTGGTGGGAGATTTACATAACAGGTGTTAAGGTGCTACCTATATTCTAAAAGATTTCTTTAGGCAACACTGAAAAAACACCGAGATAGAGCAGCTTGACTTTGCACTAAAATTTCACACAGATATTTTAAGCCAATAACAGAATAGCCAGCCACAATTGGTTATGAAAAAAAAGAAATCAAATAAGGGATAAAATCCCATAGTACAAAATACACTCCACAGATCTAATAATGCAGTTCTCCGTGGGAATCTCCTACAATATACAGTACGCATCAAAAGATAACTTTCCCAGAAACACTGAATAAAAGCTGCCTGTACAGAGAAACTAGTTCAATGCTAGGTCTGAATTTAAGCTGGGCAGACAGTTTATACCCTGATTTTTAGGCCAACTGGTCCCCACCTAATAGATTCAGGACAAATGTCACCACATGCGCTGTCATTTCTTCAATTTGAAGAAGTTTCTGACTCCTTCTCAACGTCACAGTCTGAATGTTGGACGATCAGAAAGTAATCACTTCCATTTGACCTATGCCTTTTATTTTTGTGGCTATCACCTTTTCTCCACTATTTTCACATTATATTTCATTAAGGTGCTGACTGAGTGAACTAGATTTTTCAAATGGCATTTAATAAAATACCAGTGCAAACTGGAATTACATATACTACACGGGATACAGTATCACCACCCACAACTAGCCTCTAAGGAAACGATGAACAATTCATTAAAAAAAATAAAAAAATAAAAAAATAATACAGCCTCTGTTAAGTGCCTCAGTGCCATGATCACAGTGGGATCAATCAACTCGAGCAGCTCTGTGTGGTTTCCAAACACCATATTCCATGTCACTGACTCGGTCACAGTGAAAGACAAGCTGCTTGGACTTTCTGAGGCAGGCGTTCTGTAAATCTAAGACCAAAGGTTCACTCACCGGGCGACTCTGTGGCTGTGCATTCATTGGCTGTGTCTGGGGAGAATACACTAGAGGGGCGGAGCCAGCATTTTGCCCAGGGTTGTATGGAGACTTTTAAAAAGAAGAAATGGAAAGATGGACTTATTGTTAAATACAGACATCACTCACTAGTCACTACATTAAGACATTTCATAGATCATCCTTAATAATACACCAGATGTCACAAAACCAACTTACTTCGAATATTACTAGGAGAAATTTGTCAACAGGGCTTTATGTACTGCGGAAAAATATTTGGTTCCCTCAAGGACTGCAAATCCTATGCTCCTTTATTCTTCATCTAGTGTGCAGTGCAGCTAGACAGAGGTGGGTTGAAGTAGAGCTGCTTACTCTTCTTTGAGCTGCTGCTAGTATGGTTGTGATCATTTAAGTCTGTGCTGGCTGACAAGACTATTTATACTGTAGAAGGCTTGTGAGAGACTAGAGCTGCTTTAGGGTGAGGCAGTGGGCCATTAGGTTATAACAGTAAGGAGGAACAACTAGATACCTTGCAAGCCAAGTCACATATTTCCAGAGAGGCTGAGTCACAGAGTCAACAGATCAGCAACCAGTATCACAGTCATTGACTGTCTTTATGATTAATAGTTACAGAAATTTATTTGGGATTTTCCGACATAATGAAAACAAAGGAGGCAACGCAGCCTTAACCAAAGAAGGGTGACATGCGGGTGAATATTCCTATAATGCTCAGTCCTGTCAAGCTTAAATCCAATTTAAATCAGAGCTTCTGTTCTTAACATTGGTGGGATCCAGGACTTCCTCAGTTTCATTACAGAAGTTCTATCCAGAGAACACAGGTCTAAACACAGACAATGCTTCAAATTCTTAAATGAATAATACTGAGGCTTTTGAATTAAAACCTCTTTCTACAGGCTTATAGATATGACTAACAAACCTGAATCATCTGATTTTATTACAACATGGCGCCTGTCATGGGCCGACGTGTTTGCGCGTTCCGCTGTTGAATGCCGGCTTTGTGTGTGTGTGTGTGTGTGTGTGTTTCGCTTTTGATGCAGTGCACAATTGCATACAGGAAACAGGCATTGCTGGACATCGCTAATCACAGCCCTCTGGACATCACCGGATTTATTCCACTGGAGCTATGAATAATTGTCCGCTCCCGCGGCAACCACCATCACGCCCAGGAAGGCCCCGAAGCACCGACCCCGAGAGAGCAGGCTGACCCCAGGACAGCGATCCGGGGACGAGACGCAAGCGCGGCAAGAGGAGAGGGCTCCATGCTAGGCTAAAAGCTTGCGCTAGCCGACCACCACTACCCGGCCTCTTGCTAGCTAACGTGCGGTCTCTGGAAAACAAACTGGACATGCCAAGAGCCAGGATTACAACACAGTGGGAAATAAGACTGCTGCGCTCTCGTTTTCACCAAGACCTGGCTGTCAGACAGCGTCCCAGAATCCGCCGTTCAGATGCAGACTCACTCTGTACACCGAGGAGACCGGACTGCAGCTGCCAGGAAGGCCAAAGGGGGAGGTGCGTGTGTGTGG